AAAGTGTTTACGTATTCTACACTCATGGCGCGCACACACATTAGGATAGGTTAGACGCCTGCCTCCGTTGCGAGTCCCTATCAAGCACTTTACCGATTCAACTACTCTCTTCTTCTCCTCCTGCCTAGCTCTTTGGCCCGCATCACTCACCGCAGATCAAGCCTGTTCTTGATAACGCTGCTGTGAAAACGTGTGAAAAGCCGACGAGGAAGAAGTTGGGGTGATGCAATCTTTATATCGGCGGAGCAAAATACTTAATCGCTCTGTCTATACTGCATTGTGATTGGATGGTTTACTCTGTCAATACAGGAGACAAACCAATGGGCCACTGGCTGCTCGCTGTCCCTGCGTGATGATCCTCGGCAAAAACAAAAAACATTCTGTCGGCCCCTTAAGTGCGTCGGCCCACCGGGAAAATGCCCGGTATGCCCGATTACCAATCCAGCCCTGGTCGTCACATGCGGTTGCCGCAATCCCGCCCGCCGCGTTGTTCTCAAGCCCACCAGCCGCCGCTCACTCAAGCCGGCCTCCGCTCACTCAAGGCCTCCGTGTGTGACGCTGTGTGTTTCGTTGTGAAAGCAAAACTACTTTGTTTGGCCTTCCAAAAGAGTACACGACTAGAAATCAGTGGTTAAGTTGTATTTACAACACTGTTCCAGAACAGTTCAACCCAAATATTCCGATGTGTCCAGCACATTTTATGGAGGACTGTTTCCTGATCCTGGGAGAGTAGACTACAATGCCGGCTGTTCTGACTCAACGACTGTAAGTACGTTTTCATATTTAAAGGATTTGCCACTGACGATTCAAACGCGAGTTTTGAGCAGTGTAGAGTAGCGCTTGTTGTTTGTCATTTCTCCGATCACAAATGCACACATGGTTTTATGTTGAGTAGACTACAATGCCGGCTGTTCTGACTCACAGACTGTAAGTACGTTTTCATTTAAACTAAAGGATTTGCCACTGATGATTCTAACGTGAGTTTTGAGCAGTGTAGAGTAGCGCTTGTTGTTTGTCATTTCTCCGATCACAAATGCAGACATGGTTTTATGTTTGCGCGATGCAACGCAACGCGTAAAAAGACAGTATAAGTCATTATAATCCATAATTATGTCCCTACTGGATGCAACGAATGCCTCGTTTGTAATGGGTTTTCATGTTTTTGTCTCGTCGCTCCGGCCGGACAGGGCATCACAATTATGGTAAGGGGCGTAACATTTCCGTCACGCGCTTGAGGCATTCGGCCAATCACAATGCATTGGATAGCTGGCCAATCAGAGCACACCTCGCTTTTTCAGACCGATGAGCTTTGTAAAAATCAACGCGTTTCAGAAAGGCGGGGCATAGAGGAGAAACAATAATATACAGTATGTGGAAAATAATGTGTTTTTTGAACCTTAAACCGCATAAACACATTTCATTTCACCAAATACACAAAATAATGTTCTTTTTAGCAACATCATATGACCCCTTTAAGAAATAACCAACTGTGTTTACCAGAATACTTGCCGAGACAGTTAGTTTGAGATAATTTTGTGTGTATGTGTATGTTTTCACGCAAGGATATGCGAAAGAGTAATCAATTCTGTGCGCACAGAAAACTCTGCACGAGTGTTGAATTGAATTTTCTTCAGAATTTTTTTGTGCTTTAATGGTTTAAAATGCTTGAATATTAAAATTGGCAAGACTTAGAAACGTGCAAATGATCAATTACAGTCCATTTCACCCCTACAAGAGAGTGAACAACAAAAATCAAGGAATTAATTTTATTTCACTATTCAAGATAGATTTTGGTAGCCCGACTGGAAGCCACAATAGCCCTGGGGCACCAGGATAGTGATTCTTTGAGAGCCCTGAAGACATTCTCTTTAATACACATTAGCATGTATTAATACTCCTTTTGTTGCATGCCAGCTTTTCAGGATGGAGAAACCTGAACTGAAAAACTGACATGATCCTGCCCTTAAAGGTGCATTCCATTCAGTTTGGTGCCAATTTAAAACTTTTTATACAATTATGAAATAAATTGTGTTTTTGTGAAGAGTCATCTAAATGGTGAACACTCACAAGAGATTAGGACTACTCATCATAGATTTCTAGAAAAAGTGTTTTAATCACATGTAATTACATTTCGCCATGTTAAAATGTGTTTCACTGAACCGTCAAGAGAGAATCCTCACGCTTATTGGCTGCTGCCTCTATAGATAGTACACTAGGAGCGTAGTTTTGTTTGGTGAAGCGAAGAGCAAAAATTAATCAATGGACTATGTAGACACTTATTATTACAATGCTTTACCAGCGGACACAATGGAAGAATCAGTACCTGTAGAGCCAAACAAGCAGAAAAGCTCTTAAGCCAAAAAGACTGACAAAGACAAAAAACGAGCGTAAACATCGGTACAGCATACACAAGGTGAAAATTTGGGCATCACTACTCAGGTCTGTCATCCAATCTTAAACCTCCGTAACCTCTGAAATTACGGTTGCTTGTTTAAGATCAGCAAGAGAGCTGCCTTTTTCTGTGGTGGAAGCGCTAGCAAAAGTGGTTTGGGCACCAGCACTTTGACGGTTGAAAAGGGGTGCAAAGCAAAATATCAAATTAAACCTGAATTATTCTTGAGAGAAAACAGGTATTTTTTATGTACTGTATGCATTCCTGTACAAGATTCAAACCATATGTAAAGACAGCACATGGAATGATTCTAAAAGATCAGCATAGTTACTGGTGTTATAGTACAACACCGACACAAAACCCATGAAACACAGTTCTAAAAGCATATTCACACAGAGAGCGAATATATCTAGCAACATCATCTTTTTGCAATTCACTTCATGCCATAATTCCCCTCTCGGTTTGAATAGACGTTTAGAAAGTCAAGGTTTACTCACCTCCAGATCACCTGCACTCCCAAGACGAACTTTAAATATGACACTACTGAGTAGGGCTGGGTATCGAGTTCGATACTTCTTAGGCACCGACCGAATTGCCTCGATACCATCGAGTATCGAAAAACGTCTCGTCGTTCGGTACCAAATTTCGATACGGTATCGAAGTCAAGGTATCGGTATCGATATCGAAAAATTTTGAACGATACCCAGCCCTACTACTGAGCCAAGGCCAGTATTTGCCAATATTATGTTTGAGATGCACACATAAGTGGGCAGTAAAAACAGGATCTCAGGGTAGGGGTAGGGACGTACTTGCAGCTGCTTTTTTAATTACGACTTATATCCTGCATCTACATACATCTTTAGGTTCAATCTCACGCAGACAGAGATTGATACCAGCAGCTCTCTTTATTCTTTATAATTGTCAATAAGATCAATCTAATCCCTCAAAATGGTACTTTATGTCTGTCAGCATATACAGAATTCAGCAGGAAGCCTGCTAAATCCATAAACAAATCTGAACAGATTGTGCTTCTTGACTGATTCACTAAAATAATTATTTGTTTGTGAATTTGACTAAACTAGAGCTGCATGTTCAGTTTTGCTAATAGCCAGTGAAAACAAAGAATATAAAGTTGAGGTCTTCAGAGTCAAAAACGAGACTCGAGCAGGTTTGGGTCTAACACTTAATTGAGTGCCTCAGCCATGGGCCGGGTTGATATTAGTAGCCTCGGGTTCCAGGTAATTGTAAATAATTGTCCTGAAGATTTCCGTATTAATATTAACATAAATTTCCTTGTTATTTGATGTGTAACAAAGATTATGAGTGGTTTATTTACTTGGATTTGTGGAAAAACAGTGCACTGTTGCCTAAATAAAGCAACAAAAATTAAAGCATAACTGTATATCTTTAGTATTTTCTGACTTCCACAAAGTGTTACTAAGGCTACATTATTTGGCAACATGGGTCCAAACTTCTAAAGTAAACGCTGCAAAAAAGGATTGGAGAATGAATTTCATCTACAAACAAAGTAGGAAGATGGGCCTACTTTTAAATCTACACATGCTGGGGGTTTCTAATTTGTTGTTTCTGATTTCGTATTTGGCTCCAAAAAAAAAAAAAAAAAAAAACCCCCGGGGCAGACCCTAGTCTAACTTAAACTGTCTCAAGACAGGTTTTTCTTTTTTTTTTAAATTAATTAATGCACATCTGGTTGGGGTAGGAAGTGATTCGGTTCGGGTGCAGATTTTAGGACCAAAGAAGACCTCTAGTATAAAGATGTGTTCTTTTTTTTTGTATTATTACACTATCAATCACCACAATCAATTCAGACTAGCTAATAAATCAGGTGAAATGTAATTCCTTTTGCCATGATACTGTAGATTTAGTAGCAGCGCATTGCTACCATAGCGGAGCAGAAAACGGCTGAAGTTAGGTTAAGGTGGAAGAAAGCGCCTTGCTTAAAACAGCAAAACTAATCTCAGAGCAGCAGGGAAGAGCGAATTTCTAAAGCACCACCACCAGGACTTGAAGGGGAAGTTCAGGTGTTGGATAGGAGAGGAGGGGTGGGATCCTCACCTGGAGATATGGAGGCAGGGTTGAATGCCCTAGCAGGGAAAGGGGTCTGAGGTCCAGGGATGTAGGTGATGCATTCCAGGGAGGGGGAACCTGTCCCCCCGGGGTGAGGTAACAGGATGGTAGGTGGCATCTGGGCTAGATCAATTATTCCTTTTACAGACAGAAGCAAAGGGCCAGAGGGTGAGCATCCACAACCAATCAGCTTCAACTTTAAAGAGCCAACACCCTCTACTAATCTTCTAGAAACATCTAATGACTAACAGACTGGAGGAAGAATTTAAGAAATTAGCTCATTAGCTAATTGAAAGAGTTCAATTACAAAAAATAACAAGATACCAGGGCTGAAAGCTAGTTTCCACTAAGCTATGTTTTTTCATTAAGCAAAGAAAAATTAGAACTAGAAATATGGAGCAATGTAGATTGGAGATGTAGACAGCAGGACCTGCTAAAGGTCTAAGGTCAAACTCCTTCAGATTGAAACTGCAGTATTACTATTAAACTTTCCATGATTTTTTTTTTTTGGCAAAATAATGTCTCATCAGACCCAGGTCAACTTTTAACAGGTAACCTTTTTCCTGTAGATGTTACAATAGGGTGCAGAGTGAACATACATTACCAGAAAAACAAAAAATGTGGGCCTCTTGACAGACAGGTCTAGTGGATGTCTAAGAAACAGCCCCAGCCCTGGATTTAACAACTGTTTTGAACTCAATAAATTTAATGTGCAATTACAATTTGCTTGAGGGTCATTTGCTTCTGATGGTCTGGAAAAGGTTGCCACTAGTTCACACAAACACCATATCTACAGACTACATTCTTCCTTTGATACTTTCATTCAGTTTCAAACACACACACACACACACACACACACACACTAAGACAATTATGCCCCTTACCCCTAGCTGGTGGGTATGGGATGGCAATTGACGGTTCACGTGGTGACAGTCCCCTTGTGACATCAGGGCGCGGTATGACCTGCATCTGCTGCGAGGTGATGTAATCGTTCAGAATGGTTTGCCGAGTGTTCTCCATGGTGTACAGCTGGTAAGTGTTGGGGTAACCAGTCGGCGATGGTTGCCGTGGGAACATGTACGCTGCTGAGATATACAAAGGACAACAAGGACGAGAGGTGAAAAGACAGCTGTTCTAGTCTTGACTTCAATGTGGAGAGTTGAGCAGGAAATGCTATTATCTAATGCATGAGAGCAGGTTGAAAAACCAAAACATGATGTTTACCAATGAGATAGGAGTAGTGCTTTTATGAGAGAACCATTACTCAAAAGGTCAGTCAATTTTGTGTGTGACGCGTCAAGCAAGAACTGTTTGTCCTGCTTGTCAGTTTGTAGGAAGCATGGTTTCAGAACAGAACTAATTCATAATTCACTAATTTTCCATTCCTAAGCAAAGCGTAGCCACTACCCATGTGCTCTGAGCCTGATTAAGTAATGTAACAAGGGGTCAGATTTACAAAACTACTGTTTTTTCTTTTCTAATATAGTAAAAAAAGACAATGTTCTGTATAGAGCCTTTTTAAAATCAGCAAGAAATGAAAATGTATCCTAGCTATTTTGTAAATGCATCTTATTGGTCTTATCGTGAATGATTCATCCAAGTTCCATATTTAAACTTTTTTTGACCTCATAATTTTTCATTAAAATGCCATTACTAGCTCTTCCAGTGAAATGATGATTCTCCAATCATTAAGTCTGCTTAAATTCTATCCATTTCTTATAACTAACTGAAAGACGGATAGAACAAAGCTCCGTTCTACATTTTTTCCCTTTTTCAATAATCCACTTCAATTAAATGTGTCAAAATTCAAAAGAAATGATCTGTTGGTAATTTTGTTGCATTGCGACTAAGAGTTTTATCTATCTTAACGCTTCTTGCAGAAAAAAGGGGGGAAAAAGTTCTTAAAAAGCGTTAAAGCATCAAGACAATGTCACACTTGTCTTAAAATACAAAATGTAAGATGTTCAATTAATTTATTGGGTTGTTTCAATATTAAGTATTACAATATTATAATATATATTACTACAGAATTTTTTTACAAAATATAAAATACTTTTATAATCGCACACATGTGATTTTATTCTAAAGAATAAAATTTTCTAAAGAATAAAGTTTTTTTTTTTAAAGAACTACATTATTATGATCGTAATTAATCCTAAGAACTTAATTTGTTCTTAAGAAGATTTTCATAAATCTGGCCCCTGCAAAGATTCCATAATGCCTTAAATTACCTGGGTCCAGGACTCTGTGGTGAAAAGCGAGGCCGGGGTCCAGGTGTGGTGGTAGGTGAGTCCGGTACACATCTCCAGGTACTACAGGTCTATGGTGGGGGTCAAACGGGCTGTGAGAACCAAGAGGTTCACCCCCGGACACAGGTGACTTGGCGGGAACACTGTCCCTCTGGGTTGGAGTCAGTGTGCTCTTCCTCTCATGAGAAGCTGGCTTACCTGTTGCTATAATTCCTATTTGAGAAAATAAAATCAGTACAATGACCTGTACAACTGACTGCTAGATGTAAGCTAAGGATCATTGCTTAATTGTTATAAGAACAACTATCTGGGGGCAATTAAGAGAGAAAACGAGAGATGCCGCATTCATACCGTCTTGCCCTCGTAGCAGAGGTGATCCTCTGGATATGGAGGTGCCGGTGTACGTAGGGGTTCTGCGTGCATTGCTGTCCTCATACATGCCTGGACTGAGCTGAGATTTTCCCGCTTCTGTGTGTGTGGAGCGCAGGACAGAGGTGGAGTTTACTACAGAGGTGTGCCGGACACGTTCAGACACCTTTGCATCCTCATACTTGGCCCTCTCACGCTCAGCTGCCTCAATGGCAGAGTGTGAGATCTTCACTGGGCTCGTGATCAGAGATTTAACATTGTGCTTGATGGCTGATGGGTTCACAGTACTGCTCTCGTACTTTAGAGAAATACCCTGCAGAGATGCACATTGAGAAAATGAGGAGATGGAAAGATAAAACTGTACTCTTAAGGCATCTTCCATTTGACTGATCTGAACGTGATTTGAATGTTCTTCATTAAAGGGGTCATATGATGCGATTTCAAGTTTTCCTTTCTCTTTGGAGTGTTACAAGCTGATTGTGCATAGATAAGATCCCTGAAGTTGCAAAGACTAAAGTCTCAAAACCAAAGAGATATTCTTTATCAAAGTTAAGACTCTGCCTGTCAGCTGGCCAATCAGAGCAGACTGCTCTTGTCGGAAGGAGGGACTTTGTAGAAAACGAAGCGTTTGAGAGAGGCGGGGCATATAGGACTTACAATAATGTACAGTATTTGAAAAATAATGTGTTTTTTGAACATTAAAGCATGTCAACATATTCTGTTACACCAAATACACAAAATAATGATCTTTAAAAAAGCATCATATGACCCCTTTAATACATTTCAGTGTGGGAAACAGTAACAACCTCGAATCATGTACCTGAGTAATGGATCCTTCCAGAACAGGAGTTTTACGACTATCTTGAGTCCCCTTACAGGGAATCTCGTGAATTGAGCGGCCCATCTCCTTTATGGTGTTCACCCCCTCGTATGGTTTACCCTTCGTAATGCCTCCCTCAAAAGAGTGTATGGGTGGACTTTCCATCTTGATCTGTTTACCATATTTGGAGGCCTCATCATAGACTTCAGCAGAGGCTCTTGGTGTTCCTGAAACATGGGAAAGAAGATTAAGCATGATGTAGAAATTCACATACATTTTTGTGAAAAATGAGTAAAGCAAACACGTAAGTAGGACCTGTATTATTATTTGAAATGATTTACAATTAATTATACTAATACATACTAATCAACTGGAGTCGAAATCAACTAGTCTTTAAAGGGGTCATGAACTGAGAAATCAAAATTCCTTTGATGTTTTGACATACAGTGGTGTGAAAAAGTGTTGGCCCCCTTCCTGATTTCTTATTTTTTTGCATGTTTGTCACACTTTAATGTTTCAGATCATCAAACTAATTTAAATATTAGTCAAAGATAACACAAGTAAACACAACATGCAGTTTTTAAATGAAGGTTTTTATTATTAAGGGAAAACAAAATCCAAAACTACATGACCCTGTGTGAAGAAGTGTTTGCCCCCCTCTTAAAACTGTGGTTTATCACACTTGAGTTCAATTTCTCTAGCCACACCCAGGCCTGATTACTGCCACACCTGGTCGCAATCAAGAAATCTCTTAAATAGGAACTGCCTGACAAAGTGAAGTAGACGACGAGGGCGCTTGGTGACACTAGGGTGTGACTGGAGCAGAGATGGAAGGAAGTGACGTAGGATCAGGAAGTGAGCTGGACATAGAGGATGAATGTAGTGGCGGGGAGAAAGGAGGTAAAAATGGAAATTGGAACATAGTAGAAAATCGGAAAAGGAAAAAAAAATGGAATCAACTTTCTGGTTCGGAAAGTGAAAGGGAAAGACAACAGGAGAAAAGGAAAAAGGAAGAGTTTAAGGTAATGATACATTTCTTGTCCGATAATATGAATGCATTGAACCCACTGAAAATAACTAAAGCGATCAAAGAAGAGATCGGGAAAATCGAACATGCGAAAATGTTACGGAATGGAAAGTTGCTACTTTTTTGTAAAGATAGCAGACAACAAAAACAGGTACTAGGCTTAAAGACATTAGCAGGGAAAAAAATTTCGTGTACACTGTTGGAAGAGAAGAAATGGATGAAGGGAGTAATAACAGGGGTCCCAACAGATGTATCAGAAGACACAATCAAGAGAAGTTTATCAGGAGCAAAAGTGGTAGGGGTCAAACGTCTGAAATATGTTAGAGATAAAGAAAAGCTGGATAGCTTATCTGTAATGGTGCAGTTTGATGAGGAAAGATTACCAGAAAGAGTATTCTTTGGGTTTATAAGCTATGCTGTTAGACAGTATGTTCCTCCTCCGCTTAGATGCTATAAATGTCAAAAGTACGGGCATGTGGCAGCTGTTTGTAAGGGAAAACAACATTGTGCGAGGTGTAGTGGAGAACATGAATATGGAAAATGTGGACAGGGTGTAAAACCCAAATGTTGCAATTGTGGAGGTGATCACAGTGCTGGCTATGGTGGATGTCAAGTAAGAAAAGAAGCAATGAAAATTCAAAGTGTCAAGGTTTCGGAAGGGTTAACATATGCTGAAGCAATAAAAAGGGTTAAGGTGTACTATAAAAACATCCTGTAAGTTTCAGAACTCAAAACTTATTTAATCAAAACTTGTTAATCTAAAAACAGCTTATATTGAAGCCAATATGCCAAAACGACAGGTTGGGAAATGTGCACTTTATGACGTAATAGTATGGCTAAACACCGCCTCCGCAGAAGAAGATCAACACCTGCGTCTACATCACTGACTGTGTAACCCCGCCCACCGATACGATCATGTAGTGTATAACGAGAGGCAAATGCAGGTCTACACAGAAATCAAACAATAAAGATACTCCAAAGAAAACAATACGCTGTGCAGTGCCAAGTTGTGGAAAAACAGTCTTTGCATTGCCTTCCCAACATTAGGAAAGAGTGGATGAACTTTTTTTTTAATGAAGTTCCAGACCGTGTCAGTAAGAACTTGGGTCCTTTGTTCACTTCATTTTACAGTGGATTAGTTTACAAACAAAGCACAATTTGATGCAGGATTTTCAGAAAGATTGAAACTAAAAGACGATACTGTGCCGACTATATTGTATCCGACAGTAATATTGCACCACACAAGTGTGAGTAACTGTTTTTATTATGTGGTCACTATTGCTTTGTCTGTTATTACAGATCGTTTGATATGAACTGAGTATTTATGTGTTTTGAACTTAAATCACAGCAGCGTCCATCTACAATCTGCCACGCCTTTACAAACAGAGTGTTCCGATGAGGGGGTCAAAACAGGACAGAAAATAGCCTATTACTTCTAAATTATGATGTGTTTTGATGTAAAAATATTGATAAAATTATAAGTGGACCTCAGAGAGCAATACAAAATAAAAAACAAAGGCAGTTCATGACCCCTTTAAAGTGGAAGTGAAGCAGTCAGTCAAGTTTACATTATTTAGTAAACTGATTTCCACTTTAATTAAAAAAATATAAACACAATTAATGTAGCCATTTTAAAGAAAAAAAGGATGTTTTGTTATAGGTTTTGGAGTAAGGATGCTGCCATCTTGCAATACCACAGCGTGTGACGTCACGGGGTTGGTTTGCTCCGTTGCCCAGTGAAATAATATAAGCATTTCTTTACTTTTTGAACATGCTTGTTTTGAAATGGAGGAAGACAAACTTGAAAGGACTGCTGAGCCAATAATAAGTGCAATTGCTTATGCATTTGAGCCAATATGGCGAGGGGGCCGAGCAGTAATACAGTTATGGGTGGAAGAAGTAGTGAACCTGCTGGTTTAGGGTGAAGAGCAGGTCAGAAACAATAAGTGTTTACGTGGATACTCGTCAAAACAGCCATTCTGGCAATTCTGTGTGCATTTGCTGACATAACAATAAGATGCGACATGAACAATACTGTATGAACCGTTGTTTGATTGTTTACATTGCGTTATGTAAACAATGTTTGGGATACTTAGTGAACTTAGTGATGTAGACAGTTTGATGTTGGATATTCATCCAAATTATGGTGAAAACCAAAAATGTAATTTAATTAACTTAAAAAAAACAAAAAAAACCTTGCTACATGTACTGCGTTAAGCTAACTGAGACTTGTTATAGCACTTGCATATCATTGCTCTCTTGTTAATTTTGATTGCTTCCATTGTCCTCATTTGTAAGTCGCTTTGGATAAAAGTGTCTGCTAAATGACTAAATGTAAATGTAATTAAAATTGTTTGGATAGCAGAAGAAATGGCACAGACAATGGATTTAGTAAATAGGAAATATAGTGATGCAGTGCCTATATTATTTAAAATGCCTGCAATAGACCTGTATCTACTAGAAGTGGAAAAATCAAATAGTGGTGCAATTAATGAAGTAAATCATTATATTGAACGGTTATACTATGACAATGTACAAATTTATACAGATGGATCAGTTATAGCACTTGCATATCATTGCTCTCTTGTTAATTTTGATTGCTTCCATTGTCCTCATTTGTAAGTCGCTTTGGATAAAAGTGTCTGCTAAATGACTAAATGTAAATGTAATTAAAGTGGAAATCAGTTTACTAAATAGTGTAAACTTGACTGACTGCTTTACTTCCACTTCAACTATATATTTTTGTAAAATCATTACATATTTTCAGAATGGAAGTAAGGAAGTGAGGTGGAAGCATTCACATTACCTTGCATGATGGATCCTGAGAGTATGGAGCGATCCTTAGACTCATGAGGACTTTCTCTTGGTAATGCTCTGCTGATCAAACCTGACAAAAAAAACAAAAACAAAAAAAAAACACAAGGAAAATGTCTTGAGAAAGATTCTCTATTGGCAAATATTTGATGCTTCAAATCTTTTGTGTTCTTTCTCTGAGAAGGAGAAAGCACAAAAACATGACTAACCTTCATAAGGTGCCGTCTCACGTGTTGGGTGTCCACGGGACCCCTCCATGATGTCATATGTGCGCTTGAGATCGTGCCCCATTCGTGGGCTTCTAGTGCCCTCTCTAGGGTTCTTAATGGCTGTGGGAACATAAAGTGAGATATATTATTGTAATAAAATGAACAAAAAATATCAGTAGAACATATCAAAAAGACTCCTGGTAAGCTCTGGCTGTGGCGCTCCATAAAAACAGAAACTGCTCTTGTTGCACAGCTAACAAACATGACATTTAGCCCATAAAATGAAGCACTTCACCATCTGACTCCACTTGTGCTGTACCATGACTAGAGCCGGGAAATATAGCAAAAAATGATCACTCTATAACTATAATTTTAGTAACTATAATTGTTCTATTCAATATCACTGAGTTATATAGTGGTCATAAGCACACCAGACAGAAAGCAGTTCTGGCTCTGACCATCAAAAGAGAGAATGTGTCCGCTTTTGCCTTCATAGATAACATGAGCTTTAGAATGAGCATCAGCTCGGCTCTTCTCCGGGCCGCTCAGGTCCTCTGTGGCCAGTTTAGCAATAGTGCCTTTCAACAGATCCGCTGCTACATTGGACTGAGCCAGGGCAGGAGTGCCCTAGAAAGAGAACGAGCGAGAGTGAGAAATATTACACAAGTATAAATGAAAATTACTCAAAAACAACACAAAGGCCTATAATGAAGATACCGGAGTAATGGAGCCTCCTCTGAAAGTCAAGCCCTCTGAGCCTTTTCCAGGTGGCCCTCTCATATCCGGAATCTGTATGGGTCCTACTAGCAGCAAAGGAGAGGAAGAAAAACATTGTTTGGTTTGTGATTGAATGGTAAGACCATTGGTTCTTAATCCTGGTCCTGGGGACCCCATGCTCTGCACAAGAGTGGGGGATCCCCAGGATCAGGATTAAGAGCCACTGGGTAAGACTATTTACTTTTGTGGATTAATTCTTGATTTTTATTCATTTTATTGTATATTTTAAGTCATCTCACCTCTGACCACTCCCTCATACTGAGCTCTGGATAAAAGACCCTCCGCCTGAGTGCTCTGTCCACGTGGAGAACACTCCTCCTGCTTAATATATGACACTAAACACACACAAACACAATTAGGTATTTAGATTACACATTTCATGGACCGCATGAGGTATTCATCTTCTTAACTTCATAACGAAACTCAGCCACAAAAGCCATGGCTGAGTGTAGTTAAGCTGAGCTTGATGGCAGGATAAAGATATATTTATACTCTCAAATCTCTCTTGCTCACCAGGTTTGGCAGGGTCCTGCTGTCTTGGCAAGCCAAGCGAGATCGACCCTCCTGTGGTCTTGACTACCTCCGGTACGTACACAGCGTGCGTTTGAGAAGGAAGGTATGTTCCTGGCGTTCCCTGCAGGGAACAGGAAGGAAGACACGAATCAGAGTGGAATACCAGGAAAACCCGATCCCCTGCCTTGATCCCATTACATGTAGGAAGTATTTAAACTTAGCAGAAGCACCACGAGTCTAAAATATCAATCAACAGCATTTCTCTTACCTGTGAAATGGAGCCCCCCTGAATGAAGGAGGGCTTGTCGGTGGGTTTGGAGTGAATGAGGGGCGGAGGAGACGGAATGTTGGACGACCTGTGACGGGGAAATGCCATGCGAACATCTGAAAGAGTCTGCATTGCCTGGTTTGGTGCCGGCTGAAGAACTGTGGGAATAAAAGGATAAGAGGAATTAAAGCTGCAAGCAGCGATGAACGGGCCCTCGCACCCGGGCTCACCGCCAGCGGGCGGCTTTAGTAAAACAGTCAACGGCGAGCAATATGGATTTAAAGTGGTCAATATAGGAGGAATATGTCAAAGTCATTTATATGTGGCAATCTTCCTGCTGCCAGCTGGTGGCGCTATGACTGTAATCGAATATGAGTATGTAGATGTCTTCAGGAGAGATGAAAAGAGGTGGGCAAATAGAATCACTCTTTATCCTTGCACAGTTGACAAAAGTTTTTCCCTCTAAAGCCCAAAGTATCCGTGTATACTCTGTACACTATGCTTGCACCTGTGCCTTGAATTTTTTTGTACACAATGGGGCAAACACTGGCCCAGCCCGCAGTTTCACAGTCGAAAAAGAAATGAATGAGACGGAACAACAACAACAGTTCACAGTTCATTTATAACAGTTCATTCAGGGGAACAGTATATTTATAACAGTTCTATTAGGGGAACCTATTAAGGCTTTAATTTTTAATGTAGATGTGGCCGTCACAAGCTGTCAAATGTGGCTTTTCCCATTTTAGTGGAAATTACATACAAAATAATGCTGTGTTTAAGGTCACTTCAGTATTATACTAATAAATAGTTATGTTCCTGACTTCTGATTGGTCAATACATTGTTAAAAAGCAAACAAAAATCCACAACACCGTAACAACTATGACATCAGACTCTGACTCCACTGCAGATCTCTCATATCATATTGTTAGTGGCTGTATCTGGAAGGACACAACTTTATGAAATTTCTTAACAGAATAATAATAATAAAAAAAAAACACTAAGGAGGATACAAATGTTAAAATCAACAAGACACTCAAGGCCGTTCTATATTTTAAATCTGCACTAAGCATTGTGCCTAACAACGACCTTTAGTCATTACTTTACACAATACAGAACGGCCTCTCAGATTCACTGCTCAAAACTTCTGACCTACTACACAACCTACCAAACTTCTGCAGGACCTGCAAATGACTTTCATAAAACTGCCCAGCTTATAAAACCAAGACCAAAAAAAACAACAACCTTTTTTAAAAAAAGTGCAAAATAAAAAGCTATTTAAAAGAAAGCTGACCCAAATGCAGAGCTTCAAATGAAACCCTGTGAATAAAGCCTGACAAAGACACAGACCTGAGTCTAATCCGAAGCTCTTAGCATGGGAGGAATGAAGTCTTCCTCCGCCGCTGCTCACCCATGACTCACAGCCCTACTAGAAGCACTTCTTCTCTTTTCACACAGCCCAGCCTCTCACTCAACTCTTTTGAAATATTGAGTCATGAACCCTCCTGTCTCCTGCGGCGTAAACAGCATGAGTCTAGAGATGAGATCAGGTGGTCTCTGCAGTTCCTTAGTGCAGGGTGTGATGTTCTCACAAACGTAATAGCTTATCTGTTGTAATCATGTGATTCAGGACTATTCTTATGCACAAATAAAAACATACAGGTCTAACGGTACAGAAGTCAGTAGAGTTACATTGTTCAAGCATGGTTCAACCTCACGTTCAGATACTATATAATGCCTGTATAAAGGCTGGCCACATGATTTACTGGGGAATGCAGAGGAGAAGTGAAAGATTACAAACATGATAGGGACAGGCATTTTTTTTCTTCAAAAATGTTGTATTTGAGTATTTGGGATCATAAACAACAAATATTCCTTTATTTAAATAGCGTTTAACGAGAAAGACATTTTTTAATAGTCAAGCTTTTGTCACCATGTCTGAACAAGCTTATGATTAGGCATTAAAAAAAACAATGTTCTACAACAACATTACGTTATATCTCAAGGTTTTCTTTTAGTTGAAAACGTGTAAACTATATATATATATATAGTTTACACATTTTTGAATGTTATATTTACTTTAATATATAATAATATATTTGAATATATATATACAGTGGTGTGAAAAAGTGTTGGCCCCCTTCCTGATTTCTTATTTTTTTACATGTTTGTCACACTTTAATGTTTCAGATCATCAAACAAATTTAAATATTAGTCAAAGATAACACAAGTGAACACAACATGCAGTTTTTAAATGAAGGTTTTTATTATTAAGGGAAAACAAAACCCAAAACTACATGGCCCTGTGTGAAAAAGTGTCAGAAGAACTTTGCCTGCTGAATATTAAAAACAAATGAACTAACAAAAAATCTTGATCGCCATGTCTGCCATGCAAATCAACTGTTCCTGCTCATTCCCAGACAGGATCTCTTCTCTCCACTTTCCCTAATTGCAGATTCAATTATTAGATTTGTCAGTATTAATATTTTTATGCTTAGATTGGTTTTGGGGGATCAAACTGTAACACCGTGTGTCCCAACCACACACGATGCGATAAAAAGTATCTTTTCCTTGCAGTTTTTGTTAGGGGTGCGCCGATCCGATATTCAGTATCGGTATCGCTCTGATACTGGCATTTTCTGTTGGATCGGGGTATCGGTCAGATGAGACCGATCCAAATCCGATATAGTGCGTATACTATTCTGTGTTATTATTAAGCCCCACGAAAGCCACAAAAACATTATAAAGCACCATAAAGTTTCCGTGCACTATATTTCAAGTGTTCTGAAGCTTTTCCATAGTTTAATGTGGTTTATGCAATGGTTTTGCATAAAAGGAATGTATCTTGCTGGAGTTTCGTGCTGTTTCTAAATCATGTAAATTTCTACCGGATATCTGGTTAGATCACAAGACTGGAGTAGAGAGCACTATGAATTGTTTGTCACGAGCACAGTAACTGAAATTTAAAACTGTTAAATGAAAAGACTCAATAAACTAATGCACATATTTAATACACTACGCATCAATATTATTCATTAACCTAGTTTATAATAGTATTTTTGTCATAGATTTTGATTATATTTTTTTGTTTGTTATTTTTTCTTTATAATGAAGCTGTCTATATTTAGTAGATTGTGTGTAACATACAAAAGAGTGATGATCGACCTACACATTGAGGTATAGAAATTCTACACTCATTTAAAAAAAACTGCGCTGGTATCGGATTGATATCGGTATTGGCAGATACTCAGAATTTTTGGTATCAGATCGTATCGGTTCTGAAAAAGTGGTATCGAGCCATCCCTAGTTTTTGTCCTAACCACCCGCGACAGCGACACGTGACAATAAGCGACATGGGATTCTATTTTAGGAACGGTTTTTATTTTCTGCGACGTCGCGGCAGGAACAACATACAAAATATGACAGTGATAATCAGGTAATGATTATGTGCTTTATTCAATGTTAAAAGTGTCTAATGTGAGTTTGAATATCGTCAAGAAAGGAGGCAGACGATGACTCTTTCTTTAGTTTAATAACGAAAACAATAAAAGAACAGAGGTCCAGATACACAAGTGCTTCTTGTTAGCGTCCTTACGTTACGTGCTATTTTTTCTTAAAAAGGCTTCCCTTAAAGACACATACACAATACTCTGACACCTCCCCCTTTTAAGAATTTGCTATAAGTGTCACGGTTTGTCAAGGGAGGCACAAACGCAGAATGAACAGGGGAAACAGAGTTTAACAAAATGGGAACACAAGAGGACGAGGCAGGAAGACAGTCCACACAATAGGCCAGAGCACACGACAGGAGAACAGGCAGGTAGGGGATGGGGTAGCTCCTGACTCAGAGGCAAAAGGAGACTAGGTAGCTCCTCAAGGAACCACAGGCTAGGCCTAGAAGATGGTAACACATGAAGCACAAAAATGCCTGACAGGTCAGAAGACTCTTCACATCGACCAGGGAGGACTCAGGAAGCAGGGCAGGAACCAACTCGACAAACACACAGACAAGGCAACAGGGGAGACAAGAGATAAACACAGATCAAAAGAAAGAACTTGCAAAACAATGACTAGGGAGGATAAACAAGAAATAAAACAATGGGGAAAAAAGTAATAAAATAAGTTCTAGAAATATTTAATTGAGACTTATGAAAACAAAGAGGATGACAAAAGGGAAAAAGCTGAGAATAAATGACAAGAACTAATCAAAAGGTTAAGAACTAAAAAATTAAGAACTAAACCACAAGACTAGAACTAGGCTATTAACTAAACTCGGGAACAAATAAAAACTAGAATTTAACAGGAGGGAAAAAACAAAACCAGACTGGATGCAAAACACTGAAAGGCAAACTCCAACAAGACACAAGCAAGGAGAATGCACATGAAGCTCACACAAAACGAACCAGCAAAGACCAGAGGGAAATGAAAGAAAGGAGAATGCACATGAAGCTCACACAAAACGAACCAGCAAAGACCAGAGGGAAATGAGCACAATATAAAGGGATCAGAGCACACGAGGATCAGGTGAACACAATTGGACAAACAAGGACTAAACAAGGGGGTGTGGTGATTGAAAATGAGGCGGCAGGACAAGAGGAGCACATGGTCAACACAAACAAAGACACAGCCATGTGCTCAGGCACAAAATAAACAAAGATACATTAAACAAAGACAGGACAGACAAGACTGTCAGGGCAGGATCCTGACAATTACCTTTTATGTTACTGGATACATTTGTTCAAAACATTACAATGAACATATATTTACTCTAAATACATTAGTACAAGACTGTGTTTTAAAGATTCAACTTAAGCTCTCTTAAACCATCACATGTTCCCTAATTTACAGAATTTAACTGCATGCTGACTTACTAGTCGTAATGTTTCTTACATTTACTAACATTTTATTCACTTTCACTTTAATTTACTGACTAACCTTGACATTGAACAGTCTGTTAACCACAATTCTTACACTACTTTTAAGACATAATGTATTACAAATTAAGTTTCTCAACTGGTTTACTCACTCTACCAGACCTTGTTACCCTCCATCCTTCACTAGTCTGTGTAGGCATTGAGTCATTTGTTCGAAGAGTGTCCTCATCACACTTTGTTTCTGAGTGCCCTATTGTTTCGGTATCAGCACTGCTCTCAGAGGGAC